GGGAGGGGGGGGGGGGGTCACTGTGGTCCTGGAGTTTAAATAGACACGCAGTTAACACCCAGCCCCCCTTCCCAAGCGGCTACCTGCCGAAATGGCCTCGTGTTCGGGTTGGGGGGGTGTAGGTGAGGACCAGTCAGTCACTGCCGTGGGTTGATAAGCAAGTGCGTTTGGGGCAAATCACTGCATCTGTGAGGTGGGGGCAGGAAATGTCATCCTTGGCGAAATCTGCAGGAAATTGATAAAATTCAGCCCTTCTGGGGGGCCGTAATGTGACTGCAAAACGTTAATCAGTGATTTGATACCTTTCTCAGGAGCCTAATGTGTTTGCTTAGACCTTTAAAAAGATTGAACCTTCTGCGCATGGAGATTTATTTCATGCCCAAGAATTGTCTTTTTAAGTCTGTAATATTTTAACAGCACATTTTGTTGTCTGGCACACACTCCAGGCTCTTAATCCTCATTAAAATTTGCTCAAATTCCCAAGATTTCCGCACGGCATGTGATCTGATTCCTCAAAATAATAACGTTCTACATCTCAAAGGAGGAATATTCCCTAATGTGGACTCTCTGAGGTACTTATCTAGTCATGGTCAGTTTGCTTGAAAGAGCCATGAAAGGAGAATTTCATGCAAATTCCATATAAATTGGTGCTTTTTAAAATTTTGCAAGCAGTAGGTATGTTGAAAATGAAATGCTGAAATTGTAAATGCAGACTTTTTTAACTGCCTGGATTTGTTAAAACTAAACCACAAATTTAGAATTAATTTAGTCATAAGAAACTACTAATTTAAAACAGATTTTCTGAATTAGGCGAATGAAATGAAATGATGAAAACCAAACTGAATGAAAACAAAATTAGTGAAGATAACTATGTTGTGTTCAGATATAGACATTATAACATTTAAAAATATCACTCCGTTCCATATAAGTAATGTGTTATTTTCGGGTGGAAGCTGCAGAAATGTTTAAGCTGTCTTAGTGTGTAATATAAGTGTCTGCATTGTCAAGCTGTGCTTGAGATCATGGCAGAGGTTTAAATGAGGTGCTTCATTTGTCAATGAGCAGGTATTCATCTGGCAAAACAGCAGGCAGAACTGCGCCATTAAAGATTATCATAAATGCCATCTCTCAAACTAGGGCAATTAGTTCCAACAACTCATTTTCCCAGACTTTCTTTTCCTAGCGAAACGTCCTCGGCCTGCTAAGCTCTCTGCTGCCACCAAATGGCTGTTTCAAAACATTCGTACATCACAGTGCTAATGCAGGTCATTGGGACCTCGTCCCACATTTAAACAGGGGAAGATTTAACCACTTGTGCACAAAATCTGTATCATGTATGTATGTGGTGACACTGTGGCAGAGCCTGGAACAAAAAATGTAAAGGGTGAAATCAGGATGTATATGCAAGGAAATACAGCAACTACTGGGAAATATGCTGGATTTAAATGCACTAAACTCTCCAGATGTTTTGTTGGCTGAAATATATCCTATTTTGTTGGGGAAATATATCTCTAGAGATAATGACTTCTTACTCCCAAGGTCTATCTACCAAGGTGATGGGGTGCAGCTTAGGAATATCTAGAAAGTTCCTCAGTGGAACATACAAAGACACATTTTAGTTACTGGACTTCTGATCTTCAACATGTGCAGCTCCACAAATACTCTAATACTAACTGCTTACTGCCAAGACTGTTTGGCTCAGTGTTGGGAAAAACCTCCACAGTCTGCGCCTGGGCATAATGTACCGACCAGCCCTCTGAAAAGAATCGCATTATGCCTTTTTGTTCAAATTCTGTGGCACATTATGAGGGATAATGATCCATCACTGTGATCTGAAAGGGGCAGAACTGGAGAAATTCCTCGCAGATACTACAAGGTTTCCTGTGTTGTGTGTACAGGCGTTCATGCGAAGAACTATGATCAGATTAATGCAAAACAAAGTGATTATGTCAATTAGGAATTAATCGTATTAGTCATCCATTAGATATACATGGGCTGGAGCACTGACTTGGAAATAATTTAATGAACACGAAAAGCGTTACATTATTAACGCTAACGCCTTAGCATAATTTTAAAAAGACGTTTAAAGTTGTTCAAACGGATCCGCACAAGACGGAGCAACGCCCACTGAGATGTACAACATGCAAACTGCCAACACATGTCTGGACACCAGAGGGCAGTGTCTCCCCATCCATTCAGAAAATGCGTTATTCCAGTCGTATTACTACCTATAATTTCAGCTTGTGGAGTATTAACGGAACGTGGCAGAGTGGGGCGTGCTGTTGCCTCACACCCACCATTGACAGTTTGCACATTCTCCCTATATTTCCTGCAGTGCAAAGATATACAGTTAGGCTAATTGGCATCTCAAAATTACACGTGGAGTGCGATTTAGAGGAGGGTTTCTGAACCAGGCCCTCGCAGACCCACAGGCGGTCCACATTTTTGCTCTCTCAAAACTGCCAGGGAATTGGGAGAGAGCAAAAACATGGACCGTCTGGGGGTCCGCAAGGACGGGGTTCAGAAAGACTGATTCAGAATGTATGTGAGTAGTGCCCTCTGATAGACATGGCATCCCTGCCCCCCTGGACCAGACCAGGAAAACAAGTTAGAAGATGGATTGATGACAGTGTAAATGGAAGGAGGATTTTGATTTAATACCCATCCTGCAGAGGCATGACCTCGTGTGGCCATCCTGTTTGAAATGTAGCACATACTGGGATGCCATCAGGCTGCATCCGTGTCTTTATGACGCCGCAATATTTCTTACATGTTCGTCGGCCTTCCAAAAATCAAACACAATCCACTGGAGCAAGTTGGCATCCGAGTGCAGGCACCGGGTGGGGGGGGGCCAAAAGCATTTTTATGCGTTTTACTGGGTTCTTGGGATTCTATTTAATTGGAAGTGGGATTGTATTTTTTCACGTTGACGCAGTGAGATACTGCAGCTGTAGCATTTAGCATAGTGAGGGTTTGTTTAAGGCCTAGTCTGCAGTGACTTTGCAGCAAGAGGTATGAAGGAGACGACATCTCTGTCACCCCGGCCACCCGTGCCCCCCCCCAAATCAAGCAGAGATTCCAGATCTGAAAAGTGACAAGCGAGCTTGTGGGCGTCTCTGTGCTAACGTCTTGCAGCTTTAAATTAGCATTCTTGACCCTGAACACTAAAAAGGGCACCAAGTCGTTTCTGTGGCGGCCAGACTTTTTGCGTTATTTTTTACTGGTACGACATCAGTTACTGTTCGCTGGTGCTCCTACTGCCTCTCTGCTCAGAGTAGTACTTACCTCCTGTTTTGTTTTGGGGGTAATTAATACCCCTCCTGAAAGTCCCAGGACAGCAGTTAGCTCATGGTTTCATATGGGGCCAAACTTAATGACACCGCGGAGATGCAAGTCAGAGATTTTCGGGGTTGACATTCTCAGGACCATCAAGAGACAAGTTACAAGTGTCCCCGACTTTGTCCTCCCTGACAAAGGCACTCAGCAAGCAGTCTTGGAAAACGAGACTTCTGGGTTGTATGTACTCATTTAGGATTGAATTGGGTCATAGGTGGATTGTTTAGGTCCACAATGTAAAAATCCAGACCAAGATTTTGTTTTAACCAACCAGTTGAGTACCCTATGACCGTGACTCTTTATACTCAATTGGTTGATTGAAACAAAATCTTGGTCTGTAGTTTTACTTTGTGGACCTGAGCTATCCACCTCTGAATAGGGTGTATTCCCACATAATACACTGCCAGTCCCCGCAGTGTCTTGCTGGATTTGAAATAACAGGACAAATCCTCCTATAGCCCAGAGTTCCTCCCTCATTGGACTATAGGCTGGCGAATCCCTGCTTTCCGTGTGCCGCCCACATGCACGTCTTCACCGTACCGTCCGCGCAATACCATTGCTGACTTTCAACATTCCCCTTAAAGGCGGCACTTCATCAAAACATTATGCACGTGGGGATAAGATCTGGGCTCCTGAAAATCTTATTATGCTGACCATTAGCTTAATTATGCCCCGTGGCCACAGCTGAGGCAGAACGACAATGTTCATTACATTTGGAAGTGACGTTTAACGGTTCTGCAGAGATGTTCTGATCGACCTTTAAAGCACATTACCACGCACGGCTTCCTGCTGGGAAAGCGTGTTATTGTCCGGTCCCTTCCCCTCGCAAGGCACCGTAATCTCCCCCTCGCTTCAGCTTCGGACCTGTTTTATCGCTAGTGAGATAGTCCCGCTCGAGGTGCTATCAGCAAGGCCCACTATCAGTCAGCCGCCTGCCAGGCCTTTCATCAGACCCCTACGCCTCAATTTTGCTGCACCTGATTGTGTCTCAGAGTTATTGCAGCGGCTAAACTCTTGAGTCAGGACACTGATCTCTCTATAAATGGAGTGAAGACATTTTGCTCTCCAGATGAGAGGGCTTTAACTGCATGTGTGAATAGCAAATCTCCTGCAACCTTGTCAAGTGTAGAGGTCATTCCTGGGCTCTGAATATTTCAGATTTTTCCCAGAACATGCTCACGCTTACCTGGATATTAAAATAAAATTTGTGTAACACGTCTGACGGCTGTTTTGATGTCATGAGTCTAGAACATCTAATTCTCTGCCTGTTGGGTGTTACACAAAACACATAAATTTCTAAATGAGACGCATTCATTAGCATTCCATTTTGCCGGAGCGGTGGATGAAAATTAAATTCCGTGTGAATTATTTAAAGCCTGATCTATTTGCAGTTCGAAAGATCCCCATGAATGTCAATATCATCTTTTAGCAAAAAATAAAAAATCACCGCATTATGCGATTTTTTTCCGATAAAACTGATCTGTGCTTTTTTTACGCAGCTCCCGCCTCAAGCTCACTTAAAAAATTAGGCATCGGATCCCGGGTGTTGCATGTAATGTGACGGATATTGGAGAACGTCACCGTTTTAAATGCGTTTTTACCACAATGTGATATCATAAAAGCAAGCACCAGGGTAAGGCGAAATACGATAAAAGGGGAATTAAGGAAGCGCTGGGATTCGCTGGTTTGTGGATTGAGGAGCGCAACCGGCGCCCCATCAGGAAAAAGTCAGGGTGGGACAACCTGCCAAAGGGCAGAAAACCGAAACCCACCAGCTAACATCACCACCAGGGGAGAGTCACATCATAAACTTTATGCGATATACATCCTATTTTATCCCGGAAAAAGGGGAGGCTTCCCTGGCTTTCTGTCATATGTTAAATTGGATAAACTATGTATCTAACTGTGACGTTAAAATAAACGAGGTTAATCCTAACTATGATTCTGTCTGAGTGTTTCACGACTTTAAATGAACGTGTTGCTGGATGAATAAATCCCGCTTTCCGGTCTCTTTATTTTAGCGGGCATTTCCCACTTTGCCACCGCATGCTCTCCTTTACTGCACTGGAAGCGTCCATAACCTTACGCGGAATCGCAGTTAGGATGGAGCTCAGAACCGCGGCGAAACACCGAACTGGAAGCGGTGGAGCTATCCCGAGCGTAATAGAGATATAAAAGCATTAAACCTCACTCCCCGGGGTCCGCAATTGCTTTTCATCAAATTAATTATCCGTGCAATATTGAAATTCTGGTGGACGATGTTCCGGGGCTTAGGCGTCTGCTTATTGTATTAGCCTGGATAGGGCTGCCTCCTTAAAGCCTACAGTTTGTTAGTTATACGCCTTGGGAGGCTCTGGTTTTCGTCATCCGTGACAAATGAAATGATCCAAAGCATAGCCGTGCGCTAGCACGCCGCTTAATTGGATTTCCGCTGTGGGGTCTGTGTCAGGTAGACAGAGGAAGGCGTCCGGGCCGAAAGTACGGCGGCTGCACCCCAGGGCCCTTAGGGTTCAGCCCTAAGCCCCTTCGGAGTTTTACATTCTTTCCGCGACTAACCATGTGACTAGCAGAAGTTCTCTGTTTTCCCATGAAATGTAGCTGATATTTCATTCTTACAATGACAAAATAAAATGCACCTTTATTAATCCCGAGGGAAATTACTGTGCCAAGGCATAGCCCACACCGTGCAAGATTAATACAACAAATGGCTTAAAAATACCAAATAAATAAAGAGTCCAAGTATAAAGATGAGGTCCCTAAGAAGGTAAGTAACCTAACTAAAGTGGGAGCAATCATGTACGAAAAGCAGTATACTGTATAGTCTATGTGTATACCGAATATGTTAGATGAAGGCCTAATTCATAAATTTTTCTCAAATCACACGTACAATGTAAAGGCGACCCCAAACTGTGTCCGAAATTAAGTACACTCAATATGTTTATGCCATTTACTCAGTATCTACTAATTTAGTAATCCTCGCCCTGTGCCTCTGCCTGTCCTCGCCCTGTGCCTCTGCCTGTCCTCGCCCTGTGCCTCTGATTGCATATACACTAATGTTCATCATTTACAACTAGGACACTACATTTTATTGTTTTTTATTCCCGCACAGTCTCACTGCTGCGGGTCCATGTCCAGACGTTTCATTACAGCAAGTTTTAAAAAGGCGCGGCAGTGGCCCAGGCGGTCTGTTATAAGGGAGCGCCTCGTGTCGGAGGAATCCTTCAAGGCCTAATTTGACACTGCGGTACCGTCTGCCCCGCTTTAAAGCACACAGAAGTGATGGCGGATGCCAGCTGGGCATATGGCACCTTAAAGCACATCTCCTGGAGGGGACATACGCTGGCTGTGGTCCTCCTTTACATCGCTTAAAAGCAGCAGAGCACACCCAGAGGATCTCTTAGGCACTAACTAAGGGTGTTATACCACCATGTGTTATTGTTTAACATTCACAGCAGGCAGAGGCTCAGTTATGACTCAGATGTAACTTTTATGTATCGTGCCAAAGTGTTCATTTACTGCCGCACTGTAGTGCAATAGGAATTGTAAAAAAAAATAAAATTAAATCTACAATAAGAGCTTGTTTCATTTAATTTTATGCACATTGGCAAATAGGTGTAATGTGTGCATTTTGCATAATGGAACAAAGGAAAGGAAAGGTTTTAATGACAATGCCAGAGTGGGAGTTGCTTCTGTCCTCCGGACATGGAGATGGTGTAAGGAGTGATCTGACTGGGTCCCGTAAAGTGCCTCTTTTTTTCCCCAAAGCTCCCTTCAGGTGGTCGGGTTAGTGTGCAGCGTGTTGAGGCTCCCGTTGTCGCTGGGCGCTCTGTCCCTTTAAGAGGTCAGTGCCGCTAGGCTCCTCTGGGGCTCTCCAGTGAGGGAGTGCATGCGGACAGGTGGCTCCTGTCCCCAGCAGCCAGACGCTCTGCGGGGAGCAGCCGACACGCAGCCCTGTCTTGGGGGACAGAGGGGGGTGGGTTCAGGGTTTCGGACAGCCCTGTGAAGGACTCCCGCCCCAGCATGAGCTCAGCAGCCGAACCTGTGGCCATCACCCGACCCCCACCCTCCTCCAAGAGGCACCGGAGCCAGAGGAAGAATTCCAGCAGATTATACTCGCAGTACCAGGAGCCTCGGACCGGGTGAGCAGCTCTGCCTTTCCCGTTTAGCCCCCTCCATGGGGAATCAGGGTTTGCCAAAACTCGAGCAGATTATTCAGTCATGTTATGATCAGCCGCTGCCGTGGTCCTGATTAAGATTAATGACCTGTCACTGAATTAAGGAAGCGTTCGTTCAAAAAAGAAATGTTTGTGGAGAAATGCTGTTTTATGACAGATCAGATGCCACTTAAGCAGAAAATTCTGCTACATCTGATGAGATAAATACTTTTAAGCAGATTTACCTTTAATGTGGCTTGTTTCTCTTCATCTGGAAGTTAATGGACAGGATTAAACTGCGAATTCGGAATTGAACGAAATGCTAAAGGACTGAACTGAGGAGGGAGAAACTCAGCGGACAGCTGATGTGCCCGGCGGCACGTGGAACTGCACACAGCACTGAGCAAGGAAACGACCCCTGCTCTTCTTCCAGGTTCTCCGACGAAGAGGATAAGCCAGAAGAGCAGGTGGACAGCAATGACCCGGAGGAGATATTCCAGAACATTCAGCTCCAGAAGGAGATCATCGCCAACATTCGCACCAGACCCTGGCCCATGAGACACAAGCTCAAAGTCCTCAAGTAAGAGCCGCTCTGGGTGACAGGGATGTGACAGCCCCCCACGTCGGCATGCCACCAGGTGACCCTCGCAGAGATGGGGCATGTGACTTAGTCACATAGAGCATGGAGGAAGACTAAAGATGTTGGTATTTTTAATGATGTTTCCCAGGTTTTTATTTGATCAAATTGAAAATGGGAATCTGGCATGAGCCGTACCTTGAATGGTCGTTGGATTGTTTCCACAGTTACGTGTGAACTCCTTCCTCGCTATTCTGACCTAGTGGTCAGTTGCGGCACTGTGACTGTTGTCGGGGAAATTGAACGGCCGTAATTGGCCCGAATTACTTAGGAAGCCCAGCCTCAGCACAGGAAGACAGGACCCTTAGCGCCAAGGAGGAGCGCTAAGTGGTGATTAGCGTCCCCGCAGGAAATTTGCCCAACTTCCAGTATCCGGGGGAGCAAAAACAAACTCTGTTAGCGGCGTAATTTTTTCATTAGCAGGTCCCCCTGCCCCCGTTCATCTGGAGGAGCCAGACTCTGCCTCTGAGCCGCAAACCAGACGCCCCGCTCCTCCATCCCAAAAAGTGCTGATTCCCATCATCAGTGGGGCGCTCGTTATGTGATGGCCTCGTTATTGCCTTGCTGCAGCTTTATTGCCTGCGCCCCCAATGAGAGGAGAGCCCCCACTCTACGCCTGGCGTGCGTTCTGGATCGATGCCTCCCGGGCCGCCCTTACACGGTCCATTTGTAATGCGCCTAAATCATCGGCCTCTCCTTAATGTGTTTGTTCGTATTATTTACGTTTCGCTTGCCCAAAGCGAATTACTGCTACCGCCGGTTTATAGAACTGGCTGTAGCACCGGAGTGATGCGAGTTAAATACTTCAAGGGCATAACAGCTGGCGCCCCCTGTGGGTTGGTTATAAAAAATCATCAGATTAGCTGTTACTCTATCTGCAGGTGAAACGCCCTTGCGCGTATGAGAGCCGTGTGTGTGTGTGTGTGTGTGTGCTGTCAGCTCTGTCTCCTTGGGAAAGGCCGTGTGGTTGAGCAGAGGTCTGGGCAGGGGCGGTGTAGCTCAGACGGCCGCATTTCTTGCACCTCTTCCCCGCGCAGTAAATCTCGCGTTGCGTGCATTGAGGCAGCCAGCCTCCCTGAATGAGGCCATGACCGGCGTCCCTTTGTCCTCACAGGCAGGCCAGGGAGATCGTCCTGAAGTACGAAGGTAGGCTCACCCGGACCCGCGGCTATCAGGCTGCCGGAGCCAATGTAGGTCCCTCCTCCCGCCGGTCTTTCCCCCCCCCCACCCCAACTGGCACTGGTCACTTTAACTTATTACCTCTTTCTTGTTAGTTGATGGACACTGTTGCACTGCGAATATAAACGCTTGCTTCCAGCCCCCCTGTTTTGCACTGTAAGTCCTGTGAAAACCCTTGTCACTTGCAGCCTGTTTGTTGCACCCTGGCCCTGGGGGAGCGACATTTCGTACCACAGTGTATGGAGGCTGTGACAGTAAAGCCCCGATCATCCGCTGGGTGTTAGATACCCACCTGATAAATCCTCCTGTGGTGTGACATCGCTGCTGTAATACTTAGTCATATTTTTCCACACCATCTTTATCTCTGACCTCTCCTCCACATTTAAAGTGTCCAGCTCAGGTAGCTGCGCACATCTGTGTGTTTTGGGCTGCGAAGGTCCAGTTAGAGGCACGCAGCGCAGATCTTGAATTTATTGCGCATTGAAATGCACGTCCTGGGCTGCACTTACACTAATTGCCCTGCAGCAGAGTCCGCAGCCGTAAGCCCTGCATAAACTCTCAGTTTACACGCCGCATCATTGCAGCGCATCTTGTTCAGGGTTTTCTATGAAGGACTGCGTCCGGGGAACTGAAGGCTGTCGGTGCAGACTCTCTGGCCGGGCTGAGCCTGGACCATCTCACTCCTCTATCCGCGCGTTTGGTAGCTTATAGATCAGCGTTATCAGCTGACATGCGGAGAGACACACTCAGGCGCACATGTCTGTCAGATTTATAGCCCATTGTTATTGCTGAGCTTAATTAAAATGCTCCCGTGGCCTGAAGGCTATTAAAATTAATTGAGTCATAGTAAGTAGATTGACGATGCTGTATTAATTACAGAGATGGGCCCTCTTGCTGCTTCACTTCGGGTAAAATATCGGAAATCAAATGCATTTATTAGTTAGTCATCTGCTATTATTTACTTATTAGTTTAGCTCAATATACTTTTTTTAATAATCAAAGGTCACGCTGGTGGCATTGTTGATATTTTGTGATGTAGTCCAGACTGAGGGAGATGACTTCGTGTAATAGTAGCTCTCTGATAAAATTAAAAAGAGCAAAAGCAAAATCAATTTTGTGCTCTAATGATTTAATCTGCTGCTCATCTTTTCAGCTCCTGAAGAAACTGTCCCGCTTGCTGTATAATATTGTAGTTTTATTTGTTCCGTGGGAAATGAGAATTAAGAAGATTGAGAGTGAGTATGTGTTTCTGTTTCTCTGTCGCTAAATTCTGCTATTTTTCAACTCTGGTCCCCAGTGTCCGTAAAGCGGGCCGGTTGTTTGCTCTCTGATTTTTAAAGGTCACTTCGGATCGGGGGTGGCTTCGTACTTCATTTTCCTACGATGGCTGTTTGGCATCAACATCGTTCTAACCGTCATGACGGGAGCCTTCATCGTCCTGCCCGAAGTGAGTCGTCCCTCGAATGCCTGACGTTCCACTGGCCCAGAGCAAATCCGCTGGCCTCCGTAAGATGGGGAAGGCCCTGGACCTCCAGGGGTGGGGCCAAGTCACATGACAAGCTCTCCTCACCTGGAAGCAGTTATTAAACACTCGTGTCCCCTCTCACCCGGCCTTCACCTCATATGCAGCTCAGACTTTACTACTTTCCCCAAACTCTGCACCTCCCTTGTTTTCTCTGCCTGTTTATGCCCCCCCCCCCCCCACTTCTGGTTCCTTTGATGCCTCCACTCTGTGAGTTATTGTCGTATGTAGTTATTATGATAAAGGCCCCAATAAAATGGAATCCAGATGGAACTGGAACAGTGTAGGTATAAAAGCTGCACAACATGAACACCCTCAGCAGTAAGGTTAGTGATTTCAGGGGGTGGGGGGGTTCCCGGTTTTTCTGCCAGCTGTTGGCTGGTGCCCCTTTTGGAACCACCCGGAGCAAGACCATTCCCAAGGAGCACCTGGCCTCTGCCCAGGACCTGGACACCATCTGGTCACTCGGGGTAAGTGACATTTATGGTTGTGCCGATGGCGTGTCATCCTTCGGCAGCAGACGGCGTTTCATCACTCCCTTCTGCGCACTGCTCCTCTCAGGGTTACCTCCAGTACTCTGTGCTCTTTTACGGCTACTATGGAAGCGTCCGGAAGATCGGCAGTGCCGGCTACAGGCTCCCCCTGGCGTATTTTCTGGTCGGAATGGCTGTCTTTGCCTACAGCTTCATCATTCTGCTCCGCAAGTAAGTCTGTGCATCATCTCCGTTTATCTCGGTGCTCCAGGCGCAGGAAATGTTTATATATGATTTCTGTGGGGAGTGGGACCACTGCCATTTGTTCTGGAAGGATGAGTAGGATTGGGGGTGCATATCCCACACCCATATGTGTGTATATTTACATTAATTAGATATCCATCCATCCATCCATATATACATACATCTTCTGAGCCTGGTCAGGGTAAAGTAAAAATTCCAGGTCATACTGAGTTACAAATGAATGCAGTTACATGTTTAATATAAGCATCGTTACACGTATGGACAGTTTAAGGCCTTGACCCATGTTGCGTTCCAACCCGAGCCATCTTACCGCCTCGTATCTCCTCAGGATGGCCAGGAACTCGCGACTCAGCCTGGCCAGCGCCTCCGACGAGACCTACACCTTCTGCTGGCGGGTGTTCTGCGCGTGGGACTACCTGATCGGCAACCCCGAGGCAGCCGAGAGCAAAGGCGCGGCCATCGTCAACAACATCAGGGTGAGGGTCGCCAGCGCAGCGGCCTCGTCGCCTTGGCGATCTGCCGGGATGTTAGTGGGGGTGGAGCGGAGCCAGAGCTGGGGGGCTCATCGATCGCAGCTTATCTGCCCCCCAAAAGGGCTGCATCAACAAGACTCCCTGCAACCGCTGACGAATTAGCCCACTGGTTCTCGCTGAGGTTCTCGCTTCTTCTGACACACTCTGTCTTTCCTTTGAAGGAGGCGATTGTGGAGGAGCAGGAAAAGAAGAAGGACACAAGCCTGTAGGTGGTGCTGCTGGACCCCCTGTCTCACTGCTCTTTGGTGCTCGGTATCAGGGCTCTGCTGATGCTGAGGAGTGTAGTTATATATCATGTTCTCCGTGGCTGTTGGGGGGAGCAGCAAGCGGCCGTTATCTGTGGTAAACGCCTCGATAGTAGAGTCGAGATGGTCTTTCTCTGACGTCATCACTTTCATAAATGAGACGCCCATGTGCCAGAGCATAAAATCAAGGCAGCGATTTGTTACCGGCCCAAGGTGCAGGGCCTAACAAGTAAGCCGCCCCCTCCCTCATCCGCCCCCTCCCTCATCCGCTCCCTCTCTCATCCGCCCCCTC